CCCCAAAACCCCAAAACCCCATAAATGCTAATTCGGCATTAACTAGGAAAGCAAAATTAATTTGTTTACTTGTATAATAAATCTTCTAATGAAAAATTGGAATAGACTTGCGAAATCTACTTTAATTTTGGTGATTCTGATAACTTCTTTATAAAATAAATCTACTGGAGGCAGTAGCAGCAGGTCCTCTTCTAGTAGAAGCTCATACTCGACAAGTTCATATTATGGAAACTATTATAGTGGATCTGTTAGTGGAGGTGCATGGTGGGTTTACTTAATCATTTTAGGGATCATGTTTATTTCCTTCCTTTCTTATGTAATAGCTTTATCGTGCATCAATCACATTTCTTTTTCCAGAGCATTTCTTGCAGTAGTAACTTTTAACTGCAAATAGCCAAAGCGAACAGATCTTGGTTGCTGTGGTGTAAGTTTATGAAAGATTTTAAATTTTTTTATCAATTTGCCCTTAGATATGTAAATTTCATTTTTATTTTTATAGAGAGAAAAATAAGGAAAATAAACACAGGAAACCAAAAATCAAGAAATCATTGAAAATTAAATCAATAGCTAGGAAATTGATTCTTACCAAAAGGTTGCTTAATTGGATGACCAAAATATCTAAGTTTAGGGTGTATATCGTGGGTAAGCAGCTGGTGGCTACCCTCCAATGACCACAGATTTTTAGCAATAAAATCTTTAACCTATTGTCAGCAATAATTAGATTTAACCAATTGCTTATGGTGGTTTCCTAGAATAGCAAGAGATGATTTAGCATTAATCACTACCAATTAAGAAAGTCAGTAATTACAAAGTATAGTAAAATATTGCTAAAAGGAATGAGGATAGCTTACTAGACTCAAGCTCATCATCTAAAGAAAACGTGAAAGACACATTAAAATAAACTGATTAATAGCAATTATAAAACTCAAATTTAGGAATAAGCATGCCCTTCGACTAGACATAGCAAATGCCAGTAGGATAGCCATAAGTCTATGGTGGATACTAAATACCTCCACAGGTAATAGGCTTTTAGTAGTTACAAATACCTCAAGGATATCCTATGTAACAGCTACCCTAATTTGATCCTAATTTATAGTAGCCATAATTAATGCAAAACTAGCCAATGTATGACCCTAATTAATAGTATGC